GGGGCTAGCAGATTTTGAAACTTTCATGAGCATTCCTAATATTAAATCAGGTCATGATAAATTTTACATAGATGATAAAATAATAACTATTTCGGATGGAACTTATGATATTACTGATATAGAAACATACTTAAAACGCGAGATTACAGACATTTATGGAAACGGAAATGTAGTTTTTTTTGCTACCCAATTTTAATACCCTTAAATGTAATATAATGTGTAGTAAACGCATCGATTTCACAAAGGATGATTCAATAGGGAAATTATTGGGTTTCAAAAATAGATTAGTCGAACCTAATACATTGGATAATGCAGACTATGTTGCAAATATAACTAAGGTATGCAATTTGCATTGATTGTAATATTTGTGTGGGATCATTCATCAATGGCAAACCTGTTCATATAATTCATCAATTTTATCCAACTGTAGCTTCAGGGTATAAAATAATAGAATCACCTTTACCCATATTATATTTTCCAGTCAGCCTTAAAGCAATAAACAACATAACCGTAAAAGTCGTCGATGAGGACGGAGATCTTATCAGTTTTAGAGGGAAAACTATAACTTTTAGGTTACATTTAAAAACAGATAGTAGTTGAAATGGTTATTAGATATAATAGAAGTTCCATTATCCACTCTTTACCTTTAATTGAAAAAAATCTTATAAAAGAAAAAAAATCTGAAAACAAATTCATTAGCAAGGAAAACGTGAACCGGTTGACACATTGGGTTTGTATTTTAATTTCAAAATTTTCAAACTCATTTTTCTCGAAACCCGTCAAAGATTTTGAGTCAATTTTTTTAAAGATTATAGTCCTTGATGAGAGATTTGAAATGGTACTTAGCTGAAGTCGCTGGCATTAACGGTTTTTGGTAAAATGGAGTTTGAAGTTTTTGACTAAATTTCAACTAAAATACAAATTGGAGGGTCAATTGCTCTAAAACTATTTGAGTTATCAAACTCAATATAGCACTGATTTATAGAGAATTTGATGCTCTTTCCAATCATATGTAATTTTGTTTTGATTTGCTCAAAATTTAATAGAAGTATTGGCAATTGCTCCTAACCTTGTCAGGATTTAAAAAAAAATTTAAACCTAAAAATTGAGTTTTTCTTTTTAATTTTTCTCTGTGTTGAAATCAAGATTTTGTAATGATGTTAGAGTTTTTTTCGATCAATTAAGACCCGCTCTATCGATTGAAAAAGTCAAAATTCAATAAATATGAATGGTGAAACTATAACTGTTAGGTTACATTTAAATACAGATAGTAGTTGAAATGGTTATTAGATATAATAGAAGTTCCATTATCCACTGTTTACCTTTAATTGAAAAAAAATCTTATAAAAGAAAAAAATCTGAAAACAAATTCATTAACAAGGAAAACGTGAACCGGTTGACACGGGAAAATCATCAATTTCTCACGTCTTTAGGATTTAAAGTTTTAATGTAATGAACATTTCAAATGTTAACGAAAAACTTTACGTAGACAATTCAATTGTAAGTTCCGAAATTCACACCTATCAACCATTTATCTCTTCAAAGTTTGATTACAATGATGAAATACGAATACCCATTCAAGAGCTTGATAAATTTACTTTACCATAAGAAAGCTTACTTGAAGAAAAATTAGTCAATAATGAATGAAACTATACAAAAAGGTTAAGATTTGTTAATAACGGTATTGCTTTCCTCTTTAGAGAAATTTGGTATGAGTTAAACGGAGTCACTATAGACTCTGTGAGAAATGTTGGATTAGCTTCTACTCTAAAAGGTTATTTTTCTCACAATACTAATGAAAGTCTAAAACTACAGAATGCAGGTTGGTTTCCAAAGAGACAAGAGGCCGAACGAATTTTGGTGGATGATAATGGAAAGTTTTGTGTTTCAATATTACTAAAAATGTTTTTAGGATTTTTCGAAGATTATAAAAAAATTATAATCAATATGAAACAAGAATTAGTTCTTATTAGAGCAAGTAATGATTTAGATGCAGTTTTGTTTAAAGATGATTTGGAGACCAAAGTAGTTACTGATGAAACTCCAATGATCTCCTTCGATAAATTGTATTGGAAAATTCCACACATAACAGTAGATATACCTCAACAGCTGGCATTATCAAAAATACTAGAATCTAACAAAGAAATCTTTCTAGGATTTAGAACTTGGGAAATTGTTGAATATTCGTCTTAATTAGAAGCAACTAGACATACCTGACCAGTGAAAACAACAAATAAACTCGAATCTCTTCGTCATGTTGTAGTAGCCTTTCAAATAGATCGGAAACGACAAGTTAAAAAAGATATGAGTCAGTTTGATGATATTGATCTAACTAATATGAGAGCATTTTTAAATTCTGAACGTTGTCCTTATCATGATTTGCACTCAAATTTCAAGGACAATAATTTTTCTGCCTTATACGAAATGTCTTCAGACATTCCTATTATGGAATTGCAACTGAGCCAGTGTTTAATCCCACTGATTCCAAAAATATTTCTCCCATAACACACATCGACTGTTCTCATCAGAAAGAGTCAATTCAAACAGGATCTGTTGTCATGAGAGTTGAATTTGAAACAAGCACCATGTCAAAAAGGATACTTTTGCATACTGTCTGATCCTTCATGATGAAATATTCAGCTATAATCCTCTAACCAAAATAGTAAAGCAGCTATAATGCACAAGCTTTTATGTTTATATAAATCAGATATTTATCTCAAATTATCCGTATTATGAAGACCGAATTGGATGTACAACTATCTCGTTACATGAAGAAGTTACAGCAATTAAAAAAACAAATAAAAGAATACTCAGAAAAAAAGTTTATGATTAAAGCATTTTCCAATATGAAAATATGAATCAACTAGTGCTGGATGTGCAAGGATTTACAATAGAAAATAATAAATTTATACCCAAGGAACTAGCTGGCCTATGATGGTACCAAAATATGCCACTATATTTTTAGACCATCATTTGATATTCAACATTTGCCACCTGATTTATGTAAACAAAGCAAATTGGTTAATTCATAATCATCATTGTATTTGTTGAAATGAGGGATACACTCCAATTTATAAATTTGCAGACATTGTCAAAAATCTAACAAGAAAAGTAGACAATGTTTACGTAAAAGGGAAAGAGAAGTCCGAATACATTAGAAAATACTCATTGAAGCCTGTCCTGGAATTTGAAGATAAGCCGACTATTCAAAAAGGACAGCCTGAATGTTTTTACCATCTGCAATCACAATGTATATGTGCACTTACTAATGTATTCTATTTATATAATAATTTTATAATGATGGAATAAAACACTTATTTTTTGAACTTTTGTTTATTTTATTTGATAATGATATAAGTTACATATTTAACTTATCATTAAACACTACCTGAATAATTTCTTTCGGAGCAAACTTTTTAACTTTATCTAAAAAATGAGCAAAATCCATGTGTTTTATAGTAGTAAGGAATGTTGTCAGATCCAAATTATGTAAGTAGGTATTACAAGCCTCCTCCGCTTTGCTATATTTTCTTGCAAGTTCCATACATTCTTCGCTCGTTTTGAACCTTTCAAATCCACAATTAGCTTCATGCTCCGCATCAAACTCCAAATTTCTAAAAAGTTGTGCCAAATTTTCAACTGCTGTTGTCAAGCTGTAGGTTGGAGTTTCTTGCACATAAGCTAACTACACCTTGACTAATTATATATTATCAAAACAGCTCCTGAAGCCTAAATATTACTTGTTTAGTGGAGGGAGGTAATAAACAGTAGGTATGTTGGTACTAATATTTTTTATTTTCCAATTTATTACCAAATACATACATATGTTTCCACATCTTCTATAATACGATCAGAATGGAAAATTAGCAATTCCAAAACACAGGAAGCATTTTCACTATTTGGGTTAGTTGAAGGTGAAATGCGCTCGTATACATTTTTGTTCAAATCACCATTTTTATTGGATACCATGCTTATTACTCTGTTGTAATAATTTAAAAATTCTTGACTCTTAAGTAGATCAAAACGTAACTTTATCAAGTTAACCAAATTTATAAGTTCATTTATAGTTTCACCAGCCAAAAAAATTTCGTTTCCACCATCGTGAGTAATTTTGATTATTCTTAATAATATCCATTATTCAAATAATCCATTATTTTCCATGCTGATGGCCATGTATCATTTTTTACATTGTTAGCTGATAAACATATAAACGTCTCTCTCTTACATTGTAATTGACTTGTATAAACAAAGTACTATTTAAAAATGCAGAAAGAAACAAGAGTTCTGCTGGTAGCATAATTACTTTCAAATGATTATATGTTTTTTATAATTATCACAATTTATAGCATCACAAGCTAATCCTTGAAGCACTTTAATTACTTCATTAACGTCTTCATCGTCACAAATATTATCATCGCTCAATATATTAATGTCTCTGAAAGTTACCAATAAGTTACAAAAATAACTTTCTTCTCCAGTTTTTTTCTATGGTCCAATATTATAGTACTAAAAAGTATATTCCTTTAGCAGCCGACATGCATTAGGTACAACGGGTAACCGCTTACGAATAAAATATATTATTTCGAAATTATTCGGTTTGAATTGATGTAAATAATGTTTAAAATTATTTTTTCAAATTTTCTTGAAATATCTTTCAAATATGTCTACAAACAGATAGGAAATGGGATAGGGGAATAAAAAGAATCTGTTATGGAGGCCTACTGCAATTTTGCATTTTGAATCAACGTAATTAAAACCATCGTGAGATAAAGAGATCCATAATTTACAAACTTGTATTGCGAACGCTATAATTGACCAGATAATGAATTAACCTTGTGAATATCTTTACCCATAATAAAAATCAATGAACTACACAAAGATGCCAGATAATTACATATTTTTGCAGAAAGAAAACCACTTACTAAAGAATAAAATTAAAAGAAAACGTATATAAACAAGCCAATATTTCTGAGACTTCATTCAATCGCTTTTGTTTCAAGATGACTCAAAACATGTTACCAAGTAGCAATGCTCAAACTCAAGTAAGTCTGTTTAATATAGCGCATTAATTTGATCCGTAATGTTTTTTCTTTAAAATAGCAAGTGCCCCAAACGTCGGTTTGGTGGGTTGAAAAATCCCTGGAACCCCCGGTAAGTATATTTGAACATCACAGCATGTTTGTTATAATTTTTTTCAAACCTAGAGAGAAGAAGATCAATTGATATTAATCGGCGACAATCGATGGGTAAGGCACGTTGACTGGCAAAGGTACCTACTGGACAAAGCTAGTGGCGTAAAATAATGAAATTGTGTGTTTACAAATATTTAACTGATAATTTATAGAAACCGCAGGGAACCATAAGTCAGGCTGAACGGAGCAGCCCTTCTGCTGACGGGAATAGTCAGCTTGACAAGATGTCATCAAATCAAGTAAGTAAATTAGTGAAGCTTAACAGACATAAAACAACTATAAATATGAATATTTTTAAACAGAATCAAGACCTTACCATAGACTACTCTTGGGATGAAGACCCTCCAATGTTGAGCTATAATCCACAAACTTATGTCTCAGCAAACAAAATTATCCGGTGCCCCCCCCGCCGAAATTGAGCAAAAAAGCCAGAAGAAAGTTTAGAAAAGAAGAAACAGAAAGATTTGCAAAATTGTAGTTTATAAGTATAATTTTTTAATAAAATAATAGTAACTTAATTTATTGTTTCATTGGGTTTTTATAAAAAATCAAAACATATTTTTCGAAGATCACAAAGCACAATTCTTGAGTGGATTTTAAAAAATACTGGTTAATCAGGGATTTTAATGAAGTTCGTTGTTTTTGTAACTCATAACTTTTCTCACCAAAAGTTCAAACAATGCGGTGTCATCAGATCAACTAGTCGAGCAAAAAACAAACAAACAACAAAACCCTACCATCGACAATTCTTGAGGACTTTATGGTAGATAGCAATAACCCAGAAGCAGATGTTGTATCCAACCCATAATCCGTTGACCCCCGCCCAAAAAGAGCAAAAAAAAATTAGGCATCAAACCATATTTTTCGAAGATGTATCAATAAATTGGCAAGGTTTTTCACCACTTGCTTCCACTCAAAAATATTGAGAACCGCAAAACTAAAATTTTGAACACGAATACAAATGAAGGAATTGTATTCTCTAGTTTTCAGGAAATTGAAGGGATATGGTACCTCTTCAGAGTAGAAGTTTTTTAATGTAGTAGAGGTGGGTATCGCTTTGATAGCTGAAGGCTTTTGAGCGTGGGAACTTTTTTGATACCGTGGGAAAATTGGCGATCTGAAATTTTGGGAATTTGACCCGGGTCAACCGTGGGAACTTTTTCGATAGCGTGGGAACCTTTTCAATAGCGTGGGAACTTTTTTGATAGCGTGGGAACTTTTTTGATAGCGTGGGAATTTTTTCGATAGCATGGGAACCTTTTCGATATCGTGGGAAAATCGGCGCCTTTGATCCGAAATTAGAATTTGACCCGGGCGAACCCCAAAATTTGTGAATCTGGTGAACCATTTACGTAGAAGAGGTCTGTGGGCACTTGAATCAAAAAAGTGCTCAGGAGCTTCACGGAAGGGGGTTTACAGTGGTGGGTAGTGGTATGATGGCTGTGCTGGAGGGGGGTATATAACAGTAAAATAATTTCTTTAGTGGGGCTCATAGTGGGGGGATGTTAGGGTAGGAGCTTCAGGGAAGGGGGTTTACAGTGGTGGGTAGTGGTATGATGGCTGTGCTGGAGGGGCAGTAAAATAATTTCTTTGGTGGGGATCATAGTGGGGGGATTTTAGGGTAGGAGCTTCAGGAAAGGGGGTTTACAGTGGTGGGTAGTGGTATGATGGCTGTGCTGGAGGGGGGTTTTACGTGGTAGAGGTGGGTATGTGGTCTGATAGCTGTGAAAGCACTCTACTACTGGCCACTGGCCATACCTCGTCCACCGGACCTCACCCCATTGGATGTTTTATTCCATAGGTGTATAGAAGTTACCTACATAATAAAAAATCAAGTATTAAGGTGCGTTCAGACTTGAGCACGCACGCACTGAGCGACCGCGAATGCTCTAGTGTAAACGGCTGTGCGCGCACGCTCGTTCTGAATCTTTCTGTGTGCGAACAGCCGCGAACGCGAGCCGGTCAGTATCGGTCTCTGGTACATGCTCAAAGGGATTCACGTGCTCAATTTAAACGGAAATTTGACTTGTGCTTTTATGCGTAGAAATATGTTTGTTTATTATTCTGTTGTGTTAGTGTGGGGTTATTTTCTTTGCTGGTATTATCATAGAATGGTCCAACGATTTATCACTATTATTTCTGCTATTATTGATACAAGAATACGAAAACTTACCCATTTTTTAGGAAACAAAAAAATATGACGCATGGCAAGAACTAGTTAAAAAAATTGATGTTGAACATCTAGAATCTGGATGGTGATGAAGCGCGGAAAAAGATGAAGAGCCTCCTAGGATCATTTAGGCGCGAAAAAAGCAAAACATCACAATCACAATAAACGCAGCCGCGGCAATTTCTTGGTCGTTCATTTTGTTCACAATGTTCACTACGCTGTTCGCGAACAAGATGGATCAACCCATTCGTTAGAAACGGAATTTCGGTTAAAACGGCGCCGGCGGCGAGCACAAGCGAATGCTGTGCGCTTATGCTCAGTGCGTTCGTGCTCAAGTCTAAACACACCTTTAGGTAAGTACCTAATTAAAGTTAAATTAAAAATGTAAAGCTCGGTGTGAGTTTATTAAATTATTATCGTTTTAAGATGGTACTTTTCTAATTTCGGACTAACAACAAAGATATCCAGTAAGATTTGCCACGTGTTAGCTGTGCGAAAAATAAATCTGGTCCAAAAATTGAGGAAAATACTTCGATGATGGTTATTTTCATACCGAAACGTCGGGAAATATTCCTGAACTTTAGGACGTTTTATAACGAATAGAAAGAAAAATTTCAAAAAATAAAACTAAAAAAAAAACCTTTAAGCAGGGTTTATAGGGTGCCCTACAGTGGCTAAATAAACCTTTACATACAGTGGCGACAATAGAGGTCCCGCCGCCATCTTGTTTCCAACCTCTTGTTACTTTTAAATATTAATATATAGGATTTAAATGGACATCTATCATAAAAAATTGAAATCGACGTATTTGATGATCATTATTAGGTCCATCAAATAGGTTGTTTTCGATGATTTATGATGGATGTTCACCTAAATCCCATATATTCATATTTAAAAGTAACAAGAGGTTGGGAACAAGATGGCGGCGTTTTCAATATAAATATATGGGATTTTAGAACCAATCAAAAATAAGACAGCAATTGTCGCCACTGTGGTAATAGAGTCACTGTAGGGTGCCCCACATAAAAGTGGGGATTTCGGAAACCGTAAGAGATGCAATTTTGGTTAAATGGCAAAAAAGTTGCGCTATTCCGAGCCCAATCAAATATGCTGCATTGAAATTGAAAATATCGTCGCCATCTTGTACCTAAACAAATTAATTAAAATTCGGTAGTTTTGTGGCCTTCTAGTTTTTTTGCAACCATAGCCCAAGCACGCTGTCTACGTCATCACTGGTACTTTGGTGGGGTGGGTGTCTTGAGATTTGTTCTACATATAGGCTATGAGCTTGCTAGACTGACTGGGGGCTAGCTTCCGTAGAAAAATGAAAGACAACCCAGATTTCAATATTGAATTTGTGGAGTAGAATACATTATCGTCCGCCAACATAAATGCTTACAAGTGAACGAACATCAGAAACAAATTGTCGGCGACATGTCGCGTTGTTAATGCACGACCGGCCTAACCAGCCATGAGCTATAGAAAAAAGTTCGTCATATTGTCAAGAAACAAATTCTTTTTTGGAAAATATAATTATCTATCAAAGTGTTTCATAAAATATGAAGTGGCCGGCAAATCATGGTAACAAATCAAACCTTCATTTTATGCAGATTCTATTTTTTTTTCAACTTACTTTGGAACCGTTCAACACTGAACCCAACAGTGGGAACGATATCGCTAACTTTATCATCTTCGCTTTTGAAACTATTCACTACCGTAGTTTTGCCACTATTATTCAATCCCACCACTAATACGTTAACTTCCCTTCTTCTCACCCCTAAGAAATTGACTAGTTTTTGGAATAAACCCATTTTAAATTAATCATTTTGCTACTGAAAATTCAATGTTCAGTTTTTGTATTCATAGATGCGTTGCTATAGCAACTCTGAACTAACATTAGCCAGAAATTAATTTTTTTGTGGTCACCCTATAGAATGAATGTTGGAGTTTATTTTTTCATTAGAACTGTTTTTATTTATTTATTTTTTTCATTAAAAATGTGCCCTGGGTGCGACCAAAAAGTTTTTTAACACGGTAAACGGTAAAGTTCCTCGTAGCTGGCAACATTGAGCATCTGCGGTGACGTCATTCGGGGTCATAGACTTTTTTTTTGCTTGTGTATCCTTGAATACGACTACAATCGCTGCAGTGGATTTAGATCAAGATTTTTTGAGAATAATTGACTAAATTGAGACATATTTTTTAAGGAAGAGTAATAAGTGGGCAAATGAAACTTACTGGTTCTGGCACGGTTCTCATGTCGGTTGAACAGAGCCACAGAGCTAGATGACATAAGAGGTAAAATTCATTTGTAACCTAACCTCATTTTTTGACAGTCAGCTAATCTACTCCAAGACATATGTAAATAAACCTTATCTCTGTTTATCACACAAAGAACAAGAAAAATAATACCAAAATTTTCAATGAACATACCATCTTCTTGAATTCCAAACAAAAATTTTATCTTTTTTTCAATTACTAGTAGGTATATCTGATAATTATTATTATTGTGTGATGGAGGAGCCCCAGGAACTTCTTGTAGACGTTACAGAGGAGAAAATTCAAGTAAGTAAATCGAACGAAACCACTGATAAAAGTGAAAGACCCCACCGTCACTAAAAATTGTCCAAAACTGGGTCGCAAGTTCACTAAAGTGGAGCACCTTCACCGCATTTCTTATGTCTCGGTGTTTTCACCTTGGCTTTGTTAGTAGTTGACAATATGATTTTGCAGGAAAACCCCAAAATTGAATCGGGGGTTTTGAAGGAGAAAACCTCCTCAGAAAACTCAGAGTATGATAGTGTCGATAGTTATAGTGATGAAGAGGAAGAACAACCACCGGTGACTAGGGCCAGGTCCAAAACATCTGGATTGGATTCGCCGAGGGATTCGCATTCTGAAAATGAGGGTGAGAGTGTTTTTTAATAATAATAATTGAGATAATAATATTTCTTTACTTATTCAACATCATAATACAAAAGAGTAGGTACATGATATAAAACCGAGTATAAAACAAAGTCAAAAGATCACAGAAATATTATACCTACTTACAGATCTGTGCAAAAATCCCTTTAAAAATAAGGTTCTAAGTTCAATAACAATTTCTAATATCCATTTAAATTTTTTCACCTGAAAATAATAGGGTGATTTTTCCACTGTTTAAGTAAGTCTATTTGGCTTGTACTTGAGTGAGCAACGACCTTGAATGGGTCAGTTCTGTTCTCTGATTGGGTGATTTTTTCAAATTATTCTGCAAAGGAAAGAAATCCCTTTATAATTGGCTCAAATTAGGCATAAAGATTCTTTGAGGGATCATCTACAATACCAAGGAACCTTGAATACCAATACTTTAGTTTTTCGATTTTTTTTTTTTGCGTTACCTATATCGGCTAGATCTTTATTTTCTAGAAATAATCCATAACAATCTAGACCTAGAAAAACAGGCAACCAATACACGTAAGTTTATTGTTTTTCATTTTGAGAAAAATCTGAGATATTTGTATTGTAGACACCCGAGTAGATACCTCAGTAGGTGCCTAATCAATCAGAGAATATTTATGCGAAATTTGAGCTAATTCTGATGTGAACTTTTTTTCTCTTCGTAGATGAATTTAAAAAAAATCAACCAATCCGACCACAAAACTGACAGATTTCAAGGTCATTAAGGTCCTCGTTAACGACGTATATAAAGTTAGCAGTGCAAAGTCAGCAGTGCAAAATTTTTTTGACTGGAAAAATTAGTGCTAATTAAATGCCAAGTTCACAAATTTTGTGCTCTTGTAGTTTCCGAGATATAGCCTGCACTGCTAGCTACCTGTTAAAGATAGCAGTGCACCATCCAGGAATAATCCAGGAAAGTGGTAGGGTGATATAAATGATGAAGAAAATTAAATGCTATCATTTCCATGAACAAAATCTCTATTTTCAGCTTTTTTTCGAATATTTTCTACAAGCAACGCTGTGCACTGCTAGCTTTATGCAGTACACATATTGAGTTTTCATGAAAGAAGGGATTGGTAGAGTTTTCGACATTTGAATAATTTAGTGCTAATTAAGTGCTAATTAAATGCCAAGTTCACAAATTTTGTGCTCTTGTAGTTTCCGAGATATCACCTGCACTGCTAGCTACCTGTTAAAGATAAGAGTGCACCATCCAGGAATAATCCAGGAAAGTGGTAGGGTGTTATAAATGATGAAGAAAATTAAATGCTACCATTTCCATGAACAAAATCTCTATTTTCAGCTTTTTTTTCAAATATTTTCTAAAAGCAACGCTGTGCACTGCTAGCTTTATGCAGTACACATATTGAGTTTTCATGAAAGAAGGGATTGGAAGAGTTTTCGACGTAGGAATAATTTAGTGTTAATTAAGTGCTAATTAAATGCCAAGTTACCAAATTTTGTGCTCTTGTAGTTTCCGAGATATAGTTTACATTTCAACAATAATAATAAATGTTTAACTGCGTAAATAAGAACATAGTTGTCTGACAAAAATGCTTAAACTAGGAGAGTCTTTTACATGGGTTGGTAGACTATTGAAATATCGTAGTCCATCATAAAATAGCGTCTTTCGTAATTTTGTTGTTCTAGCTCTACTAATATTGTAATGATCTTTTGTGCTAGTGTTGTAGTTATGAAACTGAGAAAAAAAAAAAAAAAAAAAAAAAAAAAACAAAAAAAAAACTTGTGCCCATTGTAAAAAAAATGTTGCTTCTCCTTGGGACTGCATAAAGTGTGGATCAAGCTACCATCCTAGCTGTGCTGCCCAAGCAAAAGTGCTAAATCCAGAAAAGAAGGTGTTTTGCTGTGGGAAATCGAAAAAAAGTGTGGTTAATGAAAAAGAAAATTCATCTAAAGGCGACAACATGGATGAAAAAAAGATAAAAACCGTTTTAAAAGACTTACTTAATGAGTATCTTACACCTTTTAAAAAATCTGTGCAAAGTGACTTGGAAGAAATTAAAAAGTCCCTTCAATTTGTATCGGATGGATTTGACGAGCAGAAGGACACCATAAATAAACTATTGGATGAAGTTAAGAGCCTTAGGAACCAAAATCAAAAACTAGAGAAAAGGGTGCAGGAAATGGAAGATAGATTAAATTTTTCTGAACAACAGGAAAAGGAAAAAAATTTAATCATATCTGGAATACCTAAACAGATGGATGAACCCGGAAAAATTGTAAAAAAAGTGCTTAGTGCAATGCAAACAGAAGTAAATGAAGATGAGATATTGGAAACATACTATGTGTCAAAAAAGGAAAATGCACCTATTGTTATCAAGTTCAAGAACAAAATATCAAAACAAAAAATACAAATTAGGATCAAGCAGCTTAGAGGAATTAAGGTAAATGAATGTGGATTAGTGGGAGAGAACAAAAATATATACTTTAATGATGATCTCACCAAAAAGAATCAATACCTGTTTAAAAAAGCTAGAGAATATAAACAAAACCATCAATATAAGTCAGTCTATGTACTACATGGAAGGATTCATTTAAAAAAAGATGAAAACACGGAACCTATCAGAGTAAGAAACGAGAGCGATCTCGTGCAAATAGTATAAGATGAAGCATAGACCAACTTAACTTCTTTAGTAAAACTTGCTTCATTTGATTGAACAAACCACACAAATTAAAAATGGATTATAAATCAACTATAAATATATTATACATCAACATAAGAAGCCTAAGAAACAAAATAGAGGACCTAAATGACATAATACAAGGCCATCAAGAAACTATACATATCATTGTTCTCAGTGAAACATGGATCTATCCTAATGAAGTAGACTACGCAAACCTGTCCTCGTACACTGCTATCCACAACTGCAGAACAACGCGGGGGGGTGGCACAGCGATTTATATAAGAGATGGCATAGATTATGTAAATACCACAACAGAAAAAAACATGGAAGAATATAACATCGCCTCTATATACCTACCAAACCAAAAGCTAAACCTGTATGGAATCTACAGACCACCACAAAATCAAATACAAACATTCATTCCAACACTGGATGAAATTTTAGAATCCCAAAAGAAAGCCTGTATTATAATTGGGGATATAAATCTGGACCTCTTGAAGACATCTCAGGCAAAAAGTGACTACTTAAATATAATAGAAATGAACGGTTTTCAGATAAAAAACAAAATAACAAAAGAGAACGCAACAAGAGTGACAGAAAAAACAGCATCTATACTGGATCATATCTTAACAAACAAAAACTTGGAATGCAGGATGGATATTGAGGACCATTCTCTATCAGACCACAAAGTTATTTTTGTGAAGGTAAAAAGAGAAATACAAAAAAGGGAAAAAGTGATTATTTTGAGAAAATATGTGAATACTGAAGCATGGTTGTATAAACTACAAGAAAAAATAGAAAACACAAAAATCAAATCATTTAGAGAATTAGCTGAGATCATGAATGACACAAAAAAGCAGTGTACCACAGAACGTAAAATAAAAATACAGGAAAACAACTATTGGATCACAGCAGAGTATATGAAAAGAGTCAAAGAACGAGACAGACTGTACATTAGATGGAAAAGAGTTGGAAATAAATATGTGGAATCAGAATATAAACAATTACGAAACGAAGTTAATAATATGAGGAAGAACTTGCAGAGGGCATATGCAGAAAGAAAGTTTACAGAAGCGGAAGGAAACAGCAGGAAAACTTGGGACATATTGAATGAAATCTATAAAAGGAAAAACCATAACAAACAGAAAGTAAACAACATAATTAGCCAAAATGGACAAACTCTAACAAATGGAAAAGAAAAAGCAAATGAATTTAACAACTACTTTACAAATGTGGGTGAAAAGTTAGCATCTTTAATAGATACAAACCAAAAAACAATTTTTGAGGAAGAAGAGGTAAATGAAACCATTTTTCTCAGCCCAACTGATGACACAGAACTCAAAGAATTAATATTGAACTTAAAAAACCACAGTGCCCCAGGACACGACAATATTACCAAAAAGGATATAACTAGCTGTTACAACATCATTGCTGATATTCTGACTAAACTAATAAACGAAGTCCTAGAAACTGGAATTTACCCACCAGAATTAAAAGTAGGAAAAGTAGTACCAATATACAAGAATGGAAAGCAAACAGAAGTGGGTAACTATAGGCCAATAACATTACTGAGCACCTTTTCGAAAGTTCTAGAGAAAGTAATAAAGGAAAGACTAATAAAATTTATTGAAAAAACCTTTAAATTTGACACAAGCCAATACGGCTTCCAAAAAGGGAGTAACACCCTGGGCACAACTGTCGACCTCTTGGAGCATATCACTGACAATCTGAACCAAAACAAATATGTGGCCATAATATTTGTCGACTTAAAAAAGGCGTTTGATACAGTGGATATAAAGCTAATGCTAAATAAACTATACAAAATGGGCTTTAGAGGTGTGTGTCATGAACTGCTCAAAACATATTCAGTAAACAGAAAAAACTTTACAGAGGTCGACCATCAACGCAGTGATGAGCAATATGCAAAGGTCGGGGTTGCTCAGGGATCTGTACTGGGTCCTCTACAATATCTATTATACGTGCATAGTCTAAAATATGCTGGTATAAAATCAAAATACTACATGTTTGCAGACGATACCGTATTGGTTAGTGCTGCGAAAACTAAAGAAACGTTGGAAAAAAATATAAACTGTGATCTCAGGAAATACCATGAATGGCTGTGTCAAAATAAACTTAGTGTAAATACCGAGAAAACTGTGTATATGGTTATTAAACAAAATGGTAAACCAACATGTGAAATGAATATTAAATTAAACAATGCAGTCCTCAAGGAGGTACAGCAATATAAATATTTGGGGCTAATTATTACAAACAACTTGACTTGGAACATACACATAGAGCATGTTATTAAAAAAATTGCACCAATTGTGGGTACAACAAGAAGGTGTGCTCACCAGTTGAATGATAAAGCCAAGTATCTCCTCTACAATAGTATGATTGAGCCTCATATCAGATACTTAATACCTTGCTGGGGAAATGCGAGTGAATATCTCATTAAAAAACTGCAAAGGGCGCAAAACAAAGCCATCAAAACACTATTTTCAATAGACTATCGCACACCTACAGAGACGGTTTATAAAAATTATCCATTCCTAAAGGTCAAACAAATAAAACAATGTGAGCAGTCCAAATTAATTTATTGTATAACAAACAATCTTACAAAAACGGAAATAAAACTGAACCAGAATAAGAACATACACAATCATGACACCCGTACCAAAGAATCCTTTAGAAATAAATATAGTGCAACAAAAAAATGTCAAGACTCGCCACTATATAGAAGCATCCAAACACATAATGAGCTACCAAAGACTATTCAAAGTGAGAGGTTCGCAAAATTCTGGCATAGTGTGAAAAAAATTTTTAAGGACAAAAATTAAAAGTTATAAAAAATCTTACTGAAGAATTATATAATGTAAACATAGTAACCTCAACAAAATTGTAAATTATCTATAAAAATTATAAAATCAATTAGGCCTCGGTACCAGTACAATAGCTACTGTTTTGAGGTCATGTATAAATAAATAAATAAAAAAAAAAAAAAAGATTGTTTTTCCAAGTACAAACTTGAATAATCTGGCAATAAGTTGTTTTCAATTTTATATATTAATATAAGGTTTGCCTTTTTAATGCAGGTATAAAAAAATGTGGCAAATTCAGGGTGTGGTACCCTGACGCCTCAATTTTTTTTTTAGATTCCAGTCACAAGCCGCAACCTATGTTACTTACTGTCTCTTAGGGATTAAAAAATCGTAGCTTCGCTATCTTTGGTTTTTTTCCAATCAAATTTTGGTATATTGAAAGTAAAAGGCTTCTGGATATACATATAAAAAAATCTTCATTCTGCAAATTTTCCCAGATTTCTAGGAAAAAAATCAAAAATCAGGCCATAGTCTGTATTGGAAAAATATCAGTTAGTGTCTGGTTGGAATTAAAAAATTCGTAAATCCGCTGCTATCTTTGATTTTTTTCCTGATCAAATTTAAGTATATTGAAGCTAAAATGCTTATGGATATTTAAAAAAGAATCATTTTCCAAAGTTTCCCGAATTTCCAGAAAAAAAATTAAAAATTCAGGTCATAGACTGTAAGGCAAAAATATCACTCAGTCTGTCTTTTAGATTACAAATATTGTAACTTCGCTATCCTTACTTTTTTCCAATTAAATTTTAGTATGTTAAAGCTCAAAAGCTTCTGGATATTTCAAAAAATTCTTCATTTTCCAAAGTTTCCCAGATTTCCTAGACAGTGGCACACCCAGGGAGGAACCATCGAGCTAGGGCCCCCTCCCAGGCCGCCCCTCTAAAACTTTATTCATACGTATAAAAAAATGTGGCAAATTTTGGGCGTAGCGTAGCACCCTGAAACTTCAATTATTTTTTTTTAGATTTTCAGTCACAAGCCACAACCTATGTAGGCCTCCCCCCCCCCCCAAACATATTTTCTGGGTACGCCACTGGGTAGCTAGCAGTGCATGCCACATCTTGGAAACTACAAAAGCACAAAATTTGGTAATATGGCATTTAATTAGCACTTAATCAGCACTAACTTATTCCTATGTTGAAAACTCTCGCAATCCCTTCTTTCATGAAAACTCAATATGTGTACTGCATAAAGCTAGCATTGCACAGCGTTGCTTCTAAAAAATATGCGAAAAAAAGGCTGGAAATGGTAGCATTTAAATACAATTTAATTTTTTTCATAATTTATATCATGCTACTACTTTCCTGGATCATTCCTGGATGGTGCACTGCCCTTCAATCTTTAACGGGTATAGCAGTGCAGGCCATATGTCGGAAACTACAAGAGCACAAAATTTGGTAACTCGGCATTTAATTAGCACTTAATTAGCACTAATTTTTCCAGTCATAAAAATTTTGCACTGCTGACTTTGCACTTTATATACGTTCGTTAATGTCCCCTTAAGCATTCATAAATATACTCGAACATTGATAACATAACGTTTAGTTATCTGCTCGGTTATCTGTCTGTTTATTCTATATGTCAAAATAAAGATACAGTCCATCGATTTTAATTCGATACTCCAATACTCCCTACGTTAGAACGCCAATGGTCACCAGACATCACACCTGTTTTTGCTATATGCTTCACCCCTTCGCTCCTCCTATGGAAAATGTCAGATTAAAAACGACGGACAATTCATAGATGTTGAGTTATAACATAGCTATTAAAATAATACATCACCGGCCTGATTGTTGGCTTTGAGTATGCAGGGTTACTTGTAACGAAGTGCCAGAAGAAAATTATTTTTTCTCAAATGAAACGCCTTGTATATTAAATTTTTTATTTCACATTTTTGGATCCTCAGAAAATTCTATATCTTTTCTATGTATTATGTTCTTATTATCTTCAACCAACTGTTTCCAAACTATTGTAAATTGAAAATTGAAATATTTTAACTTATTTAAATAAAACAACTAAAACAACCAATATTATATAAAACGATTCAATCTAATGAAATAGGAGAATTAATTCCTAGTCCCAAAATGCCCTTCATTCTCCTGAATGCAGTAACAACGTTTTAAAGTTTTGACTGCATCACTCATTATAACTGGATCGTCTTTTATGTTATGTATTGTTAATTGATGTCTGCAATGCTTTCTTGAGGACTTGAATATTTGGAAAACTATTATTGTTATCCCAAAAAAAAATCTATCCAATAAAGTAAAATCTGGGCTTTTTGGTGTCCATTTGATATTCCCATATTTTCTAATAATACATACATTTTTGAATATTATATGGGGGAGGTCATAATTATGTAATAAAAAGACAAGGGACAAAAGCTAACATCACGGACCTATCCTTACAGCAGTCTCTGTACTTAAAACCTGCTATTACTCTTATGCACTGATGTTGAAGATTAAAAAATTTGGGGCATGACCCCTCTCATATGCCTCTTGAAGGTGACAAGCTCGCCTGTTGGCTCGCTAGTCATTTCCTTCAATCGCCGGTAAAAACTGTTTTACCTGGCTAATAATGAAAACTATTACCTTTTGGCTTGTTAACACCTTTGTTTTTTGTTATTTGGCGATTATTAAAAAATCGGATGGTGCACCGAATAGTCAGTAGGAATAAGTTGTTATTATTTATTGTGAATATATAATAATACTATGTATATTTTGGTTATTCTACTGATATTAAAAAAAAATTATCATTGAAAATCTAATACTCAACTCACTATAATTAAATACTTTATCCCCATTTTATCACTGTAGTTTTGGGGCAATGAAATTTGCAGAAATCTATTTTAGACCACACAAACTTTAGAATGGAAAGTAGATCAGAGTGATCACATTTATTTTTGCTTATATTGGGACATATTTCTGATACTTCTTCAGATATTCATAGAATGTGGGTGAAGAAATAATTATGAAAATACATGTTTTTTTCTACTGTCATCATAATTTCATGAATTTCTAATTTCTTCAGCATTACATAAAGTTTCAATGATTAATTTTACTTCAAACTTTTGTATAATTTGAGAATGTTGCGCCCTACATTCTACTTGCTGGAAATTAAAAGTAAAATCAATAGTGCTGCAAATAATAGGTACTTATAGTGCTTCGTATAATTAATTAGTAAAGCTTCTAGACCTTATAAAATGAAAATAAAAGTAGGTTTTAACGTTAATAACATTCATCCAAGCATTCATCAAGAATATTCTTAAACATTTTTTAGGTTCTGCTATGGTAAAATTTATAACTTACAAAACGTTCAAAAATCCACAATTAATTATTGTTCTTAAAATTTGTTAATAACTTAAACGTACCAGAGACCTAGATAAATATGTAAATAAACTCAATATACCAATGGTTGTCTAAGTAAAAGCCTCAGTAAAAGCGTATTTACACTACTTTCTGTTATTATTCTCCGCTTTGGTGGATTCATGAAAAATTAAGTAAAAGGCAACAATTCATAGAAATGTATTACTATGATTTTAATTTACTGTAGGAAACTCAATAAAAGTAAAATTGTTCTTTTTCTTGAGATTTTGGATAGGGTAGCATTTTCATTTTTCAATTTATTCTCTGAAAATGTAAGTATTCAGCAAATGAAGTTATCGTCACTAGGAAAAATTATGCGCAATTATTTTCAGAAGAATGAGGAAAAAAATTCCAGTCCAAAGAACAAATCACCCAATTCAAAAAAATATTGATTCTAGTTTGAATTACTTATTAAGTTTAATTATTGATGTCATATTTAGGGAGTGTCATTCTTGAACGAGAAGAAGGCGATGGTCAAGAAAGCGTCCCACAAAAGAAAGTCGACGACGATGAGGACAAAAAGAACCCCCAATACATCCCAAAAAGGGGCACATTTTACGAACACGACGACAGAACTGCTGAAGATTTGTAAGTAAAAAAAAAATATAATATATTGTACGTTTAGGTGGAAAAATGACACATTCTCGGCCGACGGTTTAAAAGTGATTCTCGTACTGTTAGCCTTTGATTCCTTAGCAATCACTTTCTTGACCTAGGCTGGAGAATTGATTCCCATACTGTTATCTATTGATTCGTGATTGATTCCCTAGCAACCATTGAAAATACCAGAACATCAAGTTTTGCAACCTCTCAATATCTGTGCTCTCAACCGGTCAAAAATGCTGACATCTCTTATCAATCAGAAAAACAATATTCTGCCTGTTCTGATCCATTCTTAAATGAAATCATCTATATTTTTCCCTCTGTCGTCCAGTTTTTTTTTTCACAACAATGTCCATAAAATGAATGAATTAAATTGTTCCAGAGAAGAACAAAGAGGAGAAGAAGATCCTGCCAAAGTCGAACCTGAGAGTAAGAAAAAAGTGTGGCAGGATAAGAAAGAGAAATGGTCGCACGACAAGTTTGACGACCACGAACAAGCCCCAAAAAGCCGGCAGGAACTGGTAGCCATTTACGGTTACGATATTCGCAATGAAGATGGACCCCCAAGGGCAAGAAGGCGTAGGAGATATGGGTAAGAAACAATTTCAATAAACGTTTCAAAGTAAAAGTTATTCAATATAATATATTTTTGTTTTGCTGCTTAGAAAAGCTAAGTAAGTATTTTGTTGGTAAAATCTCACTTCATTTTCCTTATTTTGTTTTTATAATATTTTATAATTTCTTACTTGTTTATTTTTATTTAGTCGTGGTCCAAACAAGTATACCCGTAACTGGGAAGACAAAAATGCCTATAGCAAACCGCCACCGGCTCGTCCCCAAAGAAAGCCCAAAAATCCAACCAGAGAAGACGACGGAGATAAGGAAGAATTTCCGCCATTGGGAGGCGCAGAACAAAACAGGCCTAGAACAAAATCCAAATCGTCAGAATCGAATCACGATGAGCATATTAAGGAAAACGATGATGACAAAAAGCCATTTGTGAAGCAAGAAGAAAATAGAAAGTCTTTTGAGAGGCCGGATGCGAGAATTAAAGTCAAACCGTCACAGGAACAGCCACAACAATTTAGGAGTCATAATAGTAAACAGTTTACAGAAAATAATTCAGATCAAAATTACAATAGGTCGAATCATATAACTAGAGCTGGATCTGGTAGGATAGTTAAGCCTACTAGAGAAATTAAGGATTCTGATTATAGGTAAGAATTTAACACACATTTTTTGCTTTTGAATGTAATTATTATTGAAATCTATATCTAGGTTTTCATATGTTTATTTTACAGCAAATCCTTCATTTTCAAATGAATATTTTAATTTTCCAGAGGTTTCACATCAAAATCTAGGCAGCAACGAGGAACGCGTAGCGAAAATCAAACGATTTTACCTCCTCGTAAAAGAGAGACTGATTTCATACAGTCGCAAAATTTCACGAATAAAACTAATCACATTAATCAAGTTGCTGAATTGGAAAAAGAAATTAACCAATTAAATATTCAGGTGAGTTTTTTTTTGTCCCATGAGATTAAACAAATTTGCTTTAATGATTTTTTTTAGGATGGTGTCTATAAAGGTAGCAACAGAAACAATGCCCAAAACAGCAATCAAAATCGTCAAGGCAGCGGTCCGCCACGTCTACAAAATTCCGAGCAACAGAAAAGCTCCAAACGGTACAGCTCCATGAGGCAAAGGTCCTTGCCTGAAACTAATACTCCCCCAATTCCGGCCAATTTCAGTTTTTACCCCACTGGTAAGAAATCGGCTGGAAAACTTATTGAATTATTACCTAATAAAAAGTATTTCCAGATTATAATTCGACTGCGCCTCCTCCGGCAACTCAACAAGCGTTACTTGCAGCTGCAATTCCTCCTCCAGCTTTAGTGACGCCGCAGGTTCCTGTTACTGCAGCTCCTCCTCCTCTATTACAGGTAAATTGTAGTTTACAAGTGACATATTTGATTCAGGAAAACTTTAATTTTAAAAAATCCACCACTCAAATAAAAATTTGTAAAATAATAAGTACTTTGATGAGAAATAATCTGACAGTAATATAAAGAGGGTATAGGGAAATTTTATGTGTTATCTAAAGTTATTATTATTATTATTATTATTATTATGGTTTTGGCAATGGAAAGCGGCCTAAGTCCGATGAGTCCATCGCTTTTGATGTCTCACTCCTTTAAAAATAATGAACTAATGTGTTGTTTATGGTACAAAGATTTTGGTCTAGTCTATTTTTATAGAAATTTTTTCTTCCAAGAAGAAGGGTTTTCTTCTTTTCAAGTTTTTGGTGGTGTCCTCTAAGGTTTAAGTCTGGATTCTTTTGAAACATTTCTTCTAGTTTCAGGACTGTAGAGTAGTAGCCATTTAGGATCTTGTATGTTAAAATAAGTACTCCTGTTTCCCTTTTTTCCCTAAGTATTGTCAACTGAAATTATTTTAGTTTTGTTTCATATAGCAGGTTTCTTAGTTCTGTTGGAATTTTGGTTATTTTTCTCTGAACACTCTATAGAGATCCATATCTTTGATGTAGTAAGGAAACCAAACTGTGTGGCCATATTCTAGTTTTGGTCTAATGTAAGTGTTGCATAGTTTTCTTATCATTTCCACGGTTTGATTTTCAAATGCTTGTCTCATAAGGTAATTAGTTGATTGGCCTTTTTTACTGTGTGCGTTATATGGGTTTCCAATTTGAGATCATCAGTGACATAGACTTCTAAGTCTTTTTCTTTTGAGCCTTTTTTGAGTTCGATGCTGCCTATTTCGTAGTTAAGTCTAGGGTTATTTCGTCCTATACGTTAAACTGTACACTTTTTTTCATTCAGCTTTAGCTGCCATGTGATTGTCCATTTCTCTACAGTACTCATATCTTTCTCTAGTTGATGCAGCTGTGTTAAAAGGTTTCCATATAGTTTTTTGTAAGCTGCAAAGGATTTTACTTTGGTTTGTATATTCTTTGAAAAATCGGAAATGTACACTTTAAAAAATGGAGAGGCAAACACAGATCCTTGTGGTACTTCACTGACGACTGGGTATCAATCAGAGCTGGATAAAAAGTTCTTTGCTTAAGAAAGGAGCTGCTTCATTGCAGGTACTTGCCTCTTTCTTATTCCATAATGGCTTAGTTTGTAACAGTCTCTTGTGTGGTACTATATCGAAGGCTTTCTGAAAGTCAAGATATATTAAGTCGATTGACTTGCCTTCATCCAGATTTGTAGACCAGTAGACCAATCATTTAGACAGCTGAGAAGATTTGCTGTAGTAGAACTTTTCAGCAAAAAGCCATGCTGTGTAGGAGGTATGATATGATTTTCTTAGAAGAAAGATGTTGTTTCTTTTACAAGAATTTTTTCAAGTACTTTGGAAAGTGTGCAGTGTGCAGGTCAGACTGATGGGTCTATAATTGGATGGATCGTTTTTGTTATCACTTTTGTAAATCGGTATCACTATATAGCTTTTTTCTAGATCACTGGTATGGTTACATTATCTATTGAATCTTGGTATAATTGGGCCAATAGTGGTGCTAGAGATGTTGCACATTTCTTTAAAAATATACAGAGTATCCTATCTGGGCCTGGACTTGAATATAGGTTTATATATATATATATATATATATATCTCTCTGACTCGGTCGTAGAAAGTTCCCATCATTAGTCTACAATTATGAAAGAGGAGGACAGTAACGGGGTACTGGTAACAACAAAGGATAAGTTAATAGATGAGATTCCCCAAAATGCTAGAGGTAGCCAAAGTAAAACGATGTAATGTGCTACTAAGTGTCTGTTTATTCAAATATCAAGCTTTCGTCTACCATTGCAGACTTCATCAGGACGCTAAAAATAACAATGAAAACTCCTTTCTAAGAGACAAGATTAACCCTTTACTTGGAGGCAGAAGGCCCAATAAACTTACTTGAAACTTCAAGACAGCTCTATTGCAATAATAACCACTATATAATAGATAAATGCATAATGCACTTTCACAGAAGACTTAAACCTTGAGGATGTCATGTAACAATCTAGATTTCAACTAAACGCTTATCAATATAACAGAATACAACATTTAGGTAAAAGGACGGACATAATTAATTTGTAAAAAACAATTATCCAATAGGGGATTACAACAGATTAAAATAAAAAGTAGTAAAAATTAATTAATAAGTCTTAAAACGTTTAATTGAAAACACAAAACAGCTGGAGAAAGCTGACAGTAGACAGAAATGAAGTAATGACAACGTCAAAGTCTATCAATCTCCATCTACCTGGAAACCAAAAAAGAGGAAAGAAGAGGGAGAATATGTCAGGTTGATTTGAGGTTATGTTTCACTCTGTCATTCTTAACACAAAAATATCAGCTGATAGTTAGCTATTCTCCTAGATAAGGGGTACAGATATTCATACTATTTAACAATATATCGCTCTTTACTTTATATTATACAACTCAAAAATTCAAATTACCAATCACAAAACCAGCAATGTAAGAGAGGCAGGCTTCAAATTAGTCAATATTATTAAAAAATAGTAACATTCCCAGAAATTTCGTCTGTTTGGAAAAGACAATCAAACAAAGACTGGTAAACTAGCCCCAATTCTTTCTGACGTACTCTTGTGGATACTTTTTATTGCTGTTAGTTAACTTTTGAGAAAGTAAATAAGTGTAAATTGAACTCAGGCCCTCGACATCTTTTTTATGATTTAGACAGTTATCACAATTATAAATGTAACACATCTCCAGAATCCTCCTTTTATATGAATTCTTTTCAGAATGCAATATAAAGGCATCTTTATAGTGGACCATATGGTCATTGTTGTTCACATGTATACTGAGACTCGTACTCAGAGGTTTATGCCTACAATCACTTTTATGTAGAGCTACCCTTTTTGTTAACCTTTGTGAAGTTTGAACAATGTATATTTTTCCACATTCACATTAGATACCATATACAACATCAGATTTCTGGAGTGTAGGAGTTTTGTCTTTTAATGATGTATAAAAGAGACTGAGTTTTTTTTGATTATAGTTAGCCACAATAATGTTATGTTGAGATAAAAGTCTAGAAATGATTGGAGATAAGTTCTCAATGAATTGTAATTTCACATATTTTTTGTTAGGAACAGGAAGCTCACCCTCAACATCATTGACTGGTTGGAGACGGTTAAGTGTAACATTGCTAAACAGTAATTTATTAATCAAGTTTGGTGGGTATTGGTTATTAATAAGGATATCTTTGAGTAATCTCAGATTTTTTTCCAACGAAGTAGGATGTACAATCTTTTGGATTCTGTTCTTTAGAGCTAGTATTGCATTAATCTTCTGTTTGAAGGGATGGTAAGAAGAGAATGGTATGTATCTACCTGAACTAGATTTTTTTCTGTACCAATCCAAGATAACTCTATTTTCTCCCGTCCGAACCACCCTAGTGTCAAGAAAGGGCACAGACAACTCAGTTTCCTCTTCAACTGTAAATCTCAAATTCTCATTAAATGAATTGAAAAGGTCAAGTGTTTCACCTACCCTATCCGCAGGAACTGCTGTTAAAAGATCGTCAACATATTGATAGATAAAAGGGAATTGAAATTGTGAGTTATTAGTGACAAAGTAAAGTAATTTATTCATTACAATTTCTGCTAAGATAGGGGAAGTGGCACCGCCCATTGGTAGCCCCTTTACCTGCTTATAGAAGAGACCATTGAAACAAAAGAAAGTATTATTGTACAGGTAATTAATAATACTAACAAAAACATTACAAGGGATCTTGGTTTGGGTTCCAATAATTCAAAATGTTCTTCAATAATTGACACGACCAAATCCAATGGAATATTAGTAAATAACGAAACCACGTCAAAAGACACAAGTACGAAACCCTCCGGCAGTTGAACATTATTAATTTTTTGAGAGAAGTCAAACGTGTCAAAGATTTTGAATTTATTAAAATTTGAGAACGACCTATACAAGATTTCTGAAATAAACTTAGCTAAAGGTTGAGTTGAGCTTCCTATACATGATATGATAGGCCTTAATGGAATATCTGGTTTGTGAACTTTAGGTAAGCCGTAGAATTTCGGACAAGTACCATTGTACGTTGTGAGTGCCTTCGCCATTTCGCTAGGAATAAATTCTTTATTTTTTAAGGTTTTAATTAAGTTGTTACAACTGTTCTCTACAGAAGAGATGGGATCTTTTGCAACAAGTTTATAAGTTTCAGCATCGTTCAAAAGTTCTAAGGATTTCTCAAGATACGCATCTCTATCCATAGCTACAGTAACATTTCCCTTGTCTGATCTAGTAATGACCAAATTAGGGTTGTCTTTAAGGAACTTCCTTGTTACTAGTTCTAGATTGATTGATAGAGAAGGGAGCTGTGTACCTGCATGGACAGAGTTGGTAATTGCGTTGGTAATCTGAGAACGAAGTAGATCTTGGTTGTCCGGCCTTACGTACTGCATTGCAGATTCCACCTCGGAAATTAAAGTGAACATGTCTATGTCGCTATTGGACATTGGTAAACTGAATCTAGGACCCAACGCCAAGAAACCCTGCACTTGCTCAGGTATATCAGTACTTGATACATTTTTAAACCAAGATTGGTTGTCAGTAGTGAAGAGATTCTTTCTTTTGTCTAACAAAGCCCTAATTTTTTTAATATTACTATTTTTAACACTATTGAAATATCTGTTGTAATTTCGATCTTGAAAAAACATAAAATCGTTAAACATATAGCCAGGAATAGCATTTTGGACAATAGTATATAAATTATTTAATTGGGTTTCCAATTTTTTGATATAATTATTCGTGTCACGAATAGCAGAATTGTGCAACTTTGTGGTTACCTGTTGTGCAAGTGTATCCAATGTTCTAGTGTTTTCATGTGTGATGTTTTGTGGAATGTTCCAGAGCTTCTTGACGCTCTGGGAGAGAAACGTAGGTG